GGGGGGGTGGGAGGGAGGATGGGGGCGCGTGGGGGTGGTGTGGGTTGCCTCAGAGCATTTCTCTTATTTTTTCACCCGATTTGCTTACACAGTCTTAGATTCACCCACATTCAGGGGTTTTGGAAAACGAATACTGCCCAGACCTCTGGTCCACATTGCTCCTAGGTTCACTACTGTGGTTAGGATCTTGAAGTCTCCCAAAGGCCCATGTGTTTGAAGGCTTAGTCCTTCAGGTGGTGCTATTAGGAAGTGGAATTCAAGGAGGGATGTTTTTAGGTTCTTTGAGGTGTGCTCTTGAAGGTACCTGGTGAGATTCCTTCCACTTCTTTTCCCTCTTGGTTATGAAGTGTACAGCCTGGTTTCACTACAGACTCCTGCCATTGGGTGCTGCCTCCATTGCTCCCCCACCCCAAACTGCTCCCCCCACCCTCTCCAGCTTTCCCCCTCTGCTGTAGCTTCCCAGCCCCGCCAGTGGTGCTGTGGACCCAGCTGTGGTGTGGACACAGCACTGGCAGAGTTGAGTGGTGGAGCAATGCTCGGTGACCCTCACCCCGTGGGGCTTTCCCTGCCCAGGGCTTTGTGACCATGATTCCACATTGTATCACAGGCAGACCAGATCCTTCCCCCATTCAAGTCCTTGTCACCCTCATGATGATAGGCAGTCCACTTTGATGCTGGGCTTGGAGGGGGTTCACATGCAGCTTCATGACTGATTTTGGGTCCTTGATTCCCCACTGTGTCTTCAGCACTGTCCACACACCCTATCACTTACTAATTCAATGAGTATATTGTCTCTATTCCCCTCCAGAAAGACACCTCTGAACAAGCAGCTTCTTCACGCCTGGTTCACTGCTGCCCACCCACACCCCCCACTTCCCCAGTGTGTGCAAGAGTAAGGGCTCAAATGGGTTGTAAGTGAGCTGGTGCCTAAGAGGCAGTGGACACTGATGGGAAATGATGAATGGGTGAGGGGCAGGTCTCTGTCTCCTCCCCTTCCTCTCTTATCCCCTCCCCTCCCCAAGGAGCTCAAGAAGCAGCACCCTCTCTGTTCAATATCTTAAATAAATCGTTTATTCAGGAGGAACAATTAAAGAAAGCAATCGTGATGTGGATTACAAAAACAAACAAGCACAGCCCTCTCCAGGTTCAAGGGCAAGATGGTCCTGCCACCACAGGGACTGCCAGCCCCAGGTTGAGTGTTTGAGTGGGCTAGTGTGCATGTGGGAACACTCACACGCGCACACACACGCACACTGCCCACAAAGGGGCGTAGACTGCAATGAATGATCGTGTGTGTGTGTGTGTGTGTGTGTGTGTGTGTGTCTGCAGCTTGGCCCCTTCCCTGCCCCCCAACCAACAGCGGCTGTGTGAGACCCACAGCAGCAAAATTGAGGCCTTCATCCTTCCCTCCCTACCCCCACCAGCTCTCACTCTGAGACCCCATCTCCTCCGGTGGCAGTTTGACCACCCTCAGTCACAAAGAGTCTCAGTGATCCTGTCAAGACATCTGGGGGAGGAGGAAAGAAACACTCAGGGCACCAGATGTGTGGCTGGGAACCCGCCCACTGGCTCCCATGTGACACTGCCCAGCAAGACGCCACTCTGAGAGGCCGTCCCTGTGGAGGCCGAGAGCAGCCTCAAGAGGTCCAGGTCCACGTCAGAGAAGCAGGAAGGAGACTACACCAGTGAAGGTGGAAAGTCCCTCCCACAGGTGGGCATTTGGGGAGAGAGAAGGGACTGAGAGCAGGTCCCTGTGGCAAAGTGTGATACACTCTTCCTGAAGGGGTAACAGCAGGGAGGCCAGGGCCCAGGGAACAGGCAGCCTTCTAGAATGGTTCCTAGGATAGGAAGCCCCACCCCCACCCCCAGAGAATAAAGTAACAGTCGCAGAAGAGGCAGGTTCTGGAGCGTGGTCCCGCCCAAAAGCGGTGCGGGTCAGGCCGGTGGCCCGGGCCGGCCCATAGGCACAAGTAATAGATTCCTGGGCTGGCCCGAGTGGGTGTGGCAGGTCTCTGCTCTGTTCCTGCCTCGCTCCACGGCCCCCGCGTGAGGTATTGAGCTTTCCCTCCCCCTAATCCCCCCCTCCCTGCTTATGGCTGCATCCCCTCCCGCCTCCAACCACATGGGGTCATAGGTAGGGACCAGCCCAGTAGCCTTACAGGACCTTATGTGGGGTCCAACTCAAAGACCCCATCGCTGGTGGGGGTAGTAAAGAAGGAAGGTGGATCTGAGGCGGTGGACTCTGGCCCCCCACTGCCTTGCCCCCCAGAGCGCCTCTCCTCCAGGCGCAGGCTGCGCTCAAAGTCTAGCAGCTGCCCCATGAAGTTGAAGTTGGGGGAGATGTTAGACTTTTTCCGCTTGACCAGGTCATAGGCATCGTTGAGTGAGAGGTGGAGCTTCTGCATGAGGTAGGCCACGGTGACAGTGACAGAGCGGCTGACCCCTGCCAGGCAGTGGACGAGCACCCCGCAGTTCTGGGACAAGGCCTCATCTAGGTGGGCAGAATGGGAAGCCCCCCCCCCCAAGGACCAGCGTGAGTGAAGTCAAACTCAAGTGGTTTTCTGGGGGCCCCCACAGTCTCCCCACCCTGCCAGGCCCACGTCTGGGAGGTTTCACTGGCAGCTTTTGGAGCCCGCCTGAGTGCTACTCCTTCCTCCCCAAGTACCACCTGGGCTGTGAGAATGGCAGCCAAAACTGGGAAGGACTTCTCTTAAGGAAGAGGGGAATACTCAGGAGAGGCCAGGAGCCATGCTGTGGACAGGTGGAGAAGGAGGACAGGGAAAGTAGGAAGGACTCACCAATGAATGCAATGGCCTCCGGAAAGAACTGGGACAGGTTCTGGCTCCAGTGGTCAGAGATGGGGATCTGCTTGTAGTGGAAGTCACCGTTCTTCTCAAAGAGGTTAGGGAGGTTAGGGGTGACATTGAGGATGTAGCGGATGCCAAGTTTGGCTAGGCTCTCCAAGTTGGCTGAATCTCGGGCACTGCCCAAGTAGAGGTTGGGTAGGATCTGGACTGGATAGGATGGCAGCAGCCCAGTTGGGGGAGATGTGGTGCTCTCCGAATCCAGGCCACAGCTCATGGAGTCACGGTCAACTTCAGATTCCGCATCAGAGCAGTCGGAGCTCAGGCACAGGCCACCCAGCCCCACCACAGGCACTGGGCTAGGCACTGGGGCCAGGCTTGAGCTAGCACCGCTAGTGAGGCTGGTCTCACACAGGTGAGGACACTCAGCCTGGAATCTGCTGAAGCCACCTGTCAGGGAAGAAGGGGAAGGTCCTGTTGATCTAGCGTCCTGGGCAGCCAAGTGTCCCTGGCTGAGGCTTAGGGAAGTAACGCTAGACAACTCAGGAAGATTGCAGATGTCCCCAAAGGGAACACACATCAGCGGTACTGGAGGGCTACATATGGTGTGCTGTGGACACCAAACCATCTTCACTTAGCACTGGTAGCTGTTTCCAGAAGGCAAGTGCCCACTGCAGCTGCTGCCCCCAGGCAGAACCACCCGGGAGGATCTTAGTGCCCCCGAGGGCCAAGTGGAGGCAGGTGTGAGGACTCAAGACACAATGTTCATCACCAGTTAGAGGCAGACACCCTCAACTGCCAGTTCTCTTAAGTGTGTCCTGATCCAGTGTGGCCAGGAGCACTGTGAGAGATGAAGCGGGAACCCCAAGAAGTGGGAAGCTTGGGAGAGAGCATGGCATTCCATTTGAATGCTTCTCAAGTCCCAAGAAGCATCACCTTCACCTACAGATTCTCTTTCCTCAGCTGCACGTGGGCCCTGGACAGCTGATACTTCTCATATTTCTATATCCCCTTTATTGTCCAATGACTGTTCTCAGTGAGCAACTGATCAGGATCTGGGGATAACTGGGTCTTCCCACCCGTCGCCCTGCCATGCCTAAGGTGGAGGTCGGTTCCAACTTCCCCACTCCTGCTCCTGCCTCCATTGCTTCTCCAGGATGCTTTCTGTCTGTGTCCGTCTGTCCTGTCTACGCTTTCAGAGCTGGGGCTTTCCCTTCTGCTGCCTGCCCTTAGCCTCCAGGGCAGAGGAGTTGATGGCCAGGCTGATACCAGGACCCAGGGAGCCAACACTTGCTGCTCTAGTTCTTGAACATCCTGTGGATTAGGTCATTTCAGGCCACTTCTCCCCATTTTGCAGTTAGAAACTGGATCTTGAAAGGATGAAGGACTTGCCCAAGGTCATGCTCAGGTTTGCCTTCCCAAAAGCTGCCTCACAGGTTACCAGGGGGGAGAGTGTCACTTCTACTTTAGAGAAAATAAGATGGAGCTTGTCCAAGGTCAAATTAATGATGAAATCCCCTCTGAAGGAAGGACCCCGTCTCTCATGACCCGAGTCCTCCCCTCATAGGAGGTCACCCCAAGGCGGAAGCCCTCTCTCAGCCCACTGGCCCGCACCTACCCTGTAGGTAGTAGGCCAGGTAGCCTTCTTCCCGCAGTTTCTGGAGCAGCGTGCCCAGCACTGACTCGGCCTCCCATTCTTCAGCCTCGGCCTCGGCTTCTCCGCGCCGGCCTCGGCTACCACCCTGGTCATACAGGAGCACCGGGGCGGGCGGGGGCGGCTGCAGCGGCGGCCCTGGCAGGAGCGCGCGCACAGACAGGCTCCCTCTCCGCAGGCGGCGCAGCAGCAGCGCGGGCAGGGCCACGCTCAGCGCCCCGCCGATCCGGGCCGACTCGTACAGCTCCCGGCTGCGGCAGTCCAGCAGCAGCAGGCGCGGGCGTGGGGGCGACAGCTCCTGGCGCAGCCATAGGCACGAGCGGCCCAGGCCCTCCATGGGTGTTCCGCACGTCGGGCGGCGGGAGCTGGGGAGAGAGAGGAGGGCGTGAGCGCAGGTCCGTCTCTGTGGTCTGTCGCTGTCGTGGCGTAGACCAGGCCGCCGAGACGGGAAGTCTCCCCTGTCTCGAGGGCAGGCGCTCGGAGTCCTCGCACCGACATTCCGCCAGCGTCTGCTTCTGTTCTCGCGCCCCACCCACAGGGAAAACACGCAGGAAGGCGCCCCAGGCAAAGCACTCGAGGCCGCCGCTCCGCGGTGCTCCCTGTCCCGCTTAGGGAGGCGCGATGCATACCCCAGAAGAAAGTTACTGCCCGACAAGCTCTCCCTATGAAGGCTTTTTCTAGAGTGCTAGGAGGACAGAAGCAGTTCCCTTCACACCCCTTCTCTGAGTCTCTCAGTTGGCCTGACCTCCATCACTCCCCAAGTTCAACTCTGGGTGTGGATAAGGAATTCGGGTTCAAGGCCTGGATCTCCTCCATATCCAGGAGGATCTGGGGAACAAGAGGATCACCGAAGTGATGGGCCTCGGCGATTCCTGGAAAAGCTGACTGAGACCCATTCCCTCCCCACCCCAGGAGAGAACAAAAGGAGAAACCTGGAGCGTGATCCAGCGGCAGGCAGCCGCGCGTGGACGTCCTGGCCACGGCTTAATGCCACGGCAGATCACGGGTACAGTCCCGGGAGAGGGAGTCCCCAGGCCCGGGCGCGGGAAGGGCGGGGCGGTGGAGCAGGCTCGCACGTGGAAGCCAAGCTTCGCGCCACTTGCAAGCCGCTGCTTCCTAGCAGCCGGACCAGCTTCCACCTAGGAAGCCTCTGCCTTCAGACGGACTTGGAGTAGCAGCTCGGAGGGGCGGGCCGGGGCGGGGCTGCGGGGCGGGCTCAGTGGGCTGGCGAGCCAACGGGTGCGAGCGAAACTACTGGGTGGGAGTCGCGAGTGGCCGGCAGAGCTGAGGTTTCCACCCAGGCGGGACAGGGTCGGGGCAGAGGCCAAGGGCAGGTCGGGGGCCCAGCAGGGGACCAGTTGCAGCTCCCCCTGCTTGGCGCCAGTCTGGTCCCTGGAGGCAGGGAGAGGGGTGGGGACAAAAGCCCAGAGCCCCTGCAGCCAGAAACTACCTCAGACAACTGGCTTAGTAATCCTTGTGTGGACGTAGATGGCCCCATCTGTACAATGGGCTAACCAGAGCCACCCGCCCGGGGCTACTGTGGGATGCCACTGAAATGCTGAAGTAAAGCACAGCTCCTGGGTGCTCTATCCCCCATCTGGGCTGCATTTGTACAGGCCTGGGTAAAGGTACCTAGGAGTTCTGAGCACCCAGCCCTAAACTGGGACACTCTGTTTTGCCACAGGATGAATCCTAAGAGGCACCCCCGGCTCCTCCCTCTGGCCTCCTTCCCTTAACCCTCTGGATGTATTCATCCAGAGGGAAGCAGTTTTACTGCAGTATGTCTTCATCGCCATGCTCCCCCTGCCTCCTGCACTGGCCGTGACTGCAGAAGTCACTGTCACAGTTTCTAAAGCGGTTTTCCTGCTCCAGGCCTTTGACCATCAGCCTGCCCTCCACTCTGTCCTGGTGCCAGAATACTACTCAGTCAACAAAGGCTGATGGCCTCCATCCTGCCCACTCCACAGGTGAGAAACAGGAGAAACACACAGGGGGCCTGTGCTCACCTGGGTCTTCCAGTCTAGCAGGACACATCAGCAAAAAGCAAAGACACTGAACAAGATATCAGGGTGATAAGTGCTGACAATGAAAGGGGCAGCAGGGGAGGCTTCGAAAAAGCCCATCTGGCCATGTCCTTTCCCTGCTTAAAGCCGGAGAAAAGCAAACAACAGTGTTAAAGGAAAACATACAACAGATAAGATAAAAGCTCTCACAAAATAATCAAAGGGTTAAGACCCTGTAGATTAATGGGTAAGGAACTCAAGGACTGCATACTCTGCCTGAAGGAAGGAATGCAATGGGGTAAGAAATATTTGGGGGAAGGTTGAATCTCAGGCATGGAAGGAAAGCCAATTCAAAAAATAAGGTAGCACTTCCCACTTACATTAGTAGAATGTTCTCAAAATGAGAACAGCCAATGTTGGCAAGGTTGCTGTGGAACCGGCATGCTGTTCCCTTCCTGGGGGAATTTTGTTTTGGTAGCACCCTTTTGGGAATGAGTACAGCAGTATGCACCAAGAACCAGAAAAGGAAAATCCACACTCTTTGGCTACTTCTGACACTCTAGCTTAAGGAGTCAAAGACCAGAAAGCAGACCTGTGTACAGAGGATGGACACTACAAAGCACTTTTCTAAGAAGTGTGTGTGTGGGGGGGAAGCAAAGCCATCTCCACCGGCAGGGCAACATTTAGTACCATGGCAGGCCATCTAAGTCTGTTGAAAAGCCTCCCCAGATGACGTGCTGTGTGAAGTGATGCTGGGGAAGAAGTCAGCCACAAAGAGCCAGGGCACCTCAGAGGAGCCTCCAGTTTTCCCTCTCTCTCCTTCCATTCCTGAAGTGGACCAGACTTCTGGGCCACACCCCACCATGTCCCTCCTTCAGTTATTGCAAGCGGTGGTTCTGGGCCAATAGGGCCTTGTGCTGGCACAGCCCAGCCAAGGCTTTTTTCTTGTGGCATGGCCCTTTTCTCCTTCTCACCCTACCTTTACCACTTCTATATCCTAGCTGCACAGTATCACAAGTGGGCACCTGCTGCCATATGTCCATGGGTATTGGGCATGGGTATTGCCTCCGAACCCCAGTGTACCAGTGGGTGGGGCTTTGAGGTGGGGCAGGGATCACGGTTGGGGTGGTGTTGGCATGGGCCTGTGGCTGACAGTGAGCTGGAGAGACAGAATCCCACCCACCCTGTCCTGGGGGCTCAGTGTGCTCAGTGTGCTTGGAGAGAGTAGTATCTCCAACCAGAGGGAAACTGGAGCTTCTGAGATATCCAGGTGTGCTCTTTGAAGCGGGCTTCCTGGAGGAGGTGGCTGGAGCTGCCCTGGGGATGACCATTCGAGGGAGGCAGCCTCTGGAATGATGTAGGAAAAAGACGCCTAGGCGTCAACATCTGTCTCACGCCTGCCACACCTGGAGAATACTTCCCCTGTAGCTAGTTTCAGACCCGTGTTGGCAAGTCCCCATCCTGGGCAAAGCATGTGAGAAGGGGAGAGGATAAGGGACGCTCAGTATCCAAAGTCAGCGCTTAGTGCCCGACGCCTGCAGCGTCGGCAGCGCCAGCAAACAGGACAAATGGGAACCTGTTGCCACCTCCGCACTGCAGGGCTCATTGCAGCCAAAGCCTCCCCCCACCCCCACGGCCGCTCCCCCTCGGCC